TCTGAGCCTGGCCTTCATAAGTCCATTCCATCACATCAGCCATGCTTTCGGGAGAAAGAAGGAGGGGGACATGCACACCAGGTTTGGGCCTGGTATCCTTGATGGGGCGTCGGATCTCTCGATACGGTTTGCTGGGGTGGAGACTTGACTGTTCAGGAGATAAGAGGAGCTGGGATGGCCAGCCAGAAGATCAACACAAATTCATGAATTCAAACATTGGGAATTAGGGCAGGGGGAATGGGGAAGTTCCCTTCAGCACGGTTGGGCTGAAAGATTGGTACCCTCCCCAGCCAATGTCTGTGACATCCAGAAATCCATTGTTAGAGGGTCCCTACTGTAGGATTTCCAGTTCGAAAGGAAGAAGGAAAAAATGCAAGACCCGATGATTGCACGTAAGTTCAAGGAGAAGAGGAGGTCTGAGTTACTGCCTGATGCAACGTTTGCTGCCGGCGCTGTAGCCTTAGGACCACTTGGGGCAGTTCTGGTTCTCTTTGCAGCCTTGGCCGCACTATGATGTCCACTGTTAGGAAGTTGGTCTGTTTAGATCTGATTCTCTGGGAATTCCCATAATTCTCCCTTGAGAATTCATGAAGACCACTGCAGCCCATTCCATACATTTCATTGCTTGCTTGGTTTACGAAAAGGCACTTCTGTCCTGAAGGGGTTCCCCCCCACCTATTTGTCTCTTATCCTCTATAACCCTCCACATGCGTTCCAAATTGTGAATCGACTGAGAATAGCTTCCAGTTTCATTACTGAAGCAATTTTTTTGCAAGAAAAGGAGACAGCATTTGGTTAAGAAATGTCTCATTCTTTCCTCTTGTTGCTGTTTGTTAGTCAAAATCAGCCTTCCCTAACCTAGCATCTTCTAGATCAGTGTTTCCCTAACATGGCAACTTAAAGATGTGTTGACTTCAACTCCCAGAATTCCTCAGCCAGTGAAGTCCACAAATGTTGGCTGGGGAATTCTGGGAGTTAAAGTCCACATATCTTTAAGTTGCCATGGTGGGGAAACCCTGAACTAGATGTATCAGGTCTTTAGGTGGGCTGGTTGGGAATTCTGGAAGTCATCATCCCAACACCCTCTAAAGGGCACCTAGATATGGAGATGCTGCAAGATTTGTTCTAAAGCAAGACTTAATCAGCATTTCCTAGTTCTTTCTTGGCAGACCCGAGCTCTGTTGATCCATAATTTTAATCAGGGTTTGTGGAATAATTCAACGCTTGGCTGAATTTGCCCATTGCACCAAGCCATAAACATGTTTCAAGCCCACCATGGCTGAGTTTATTGATTAATCAAATTTGTATGCCATTCGATTCCTTTTGTTAATATAATTTTTATTGAGCGCTTTAATAATAGTAAGAAAAAGTACAAACTGAAGTGGAATGAGAAGGAAAAAAGAGAAAGGGAGAAATAAAAGAAAAAGGTAAAAGTGCAAAAAAGAAAAAGTAAGAGGAAATTAAAGTAGAAAAAAAAGAAGAGTAGAAAAAAGATATAAAAAAAAGATATAAAGAAGTGGCTTCCGATCTTCACAGCAATTATAAGTACAATTATATTTTCACATCTCTCTCTAAGGTTACACTATGACTCTCTTCTTTCTATAATCTGTCCTGTTTAATCATCAAAACCATAAACCACACGTTCATTTTTTTCTTTCTTATGCAAAAAGTCCATAAGGGGTTTCCAGTCACTGACAAATGTAGATCCTGTCTTTTCTCTGATCGAATAAGTCAATTTGGCCATCTCAGCAAGTTCTGGCATCTTCACCAACCATTCCTCCATTGTAGGTATTGCCAAATCTTTCCATCTTTGTGCATACAATAATCTCACTGCAGTTGTGTGTAAAAACAGTGTTCCGTGGCTCTTTTCTAACTGTTTATCCATCTGTCCCAGGAGGAAAAGTTCTGGTTTTGATTCAGTATTAATCTTTAAAATCCTCTGAATCACTGTATGTATTTGAGCCCAAAATTTTCTAGCTTTTTTACACGTCCGCCAAGCATGATCAAATGTCCCTGCTTGTTGTTCACATTTCCAGCATAAATTTGAAGTATCTTTATACATTCTAGATAATTTTTCTGGTGTCATATACCAACGGAACATTATTTTATAAAAAATTTTTTTACGATTATAACCTAATGTAAATTTCAATCCTTTCAACCACATATTTCCCCATTGTTCCATCCGTATATCACAACCAAAGTTTTTAGCCCATTTTATCATGCATTCTTTGACCTGTTCTTCTTCTGTTTCAAATTCCAACAAAGGTTTATGCATCTTAGCAATTACATGTTCATCATTTGCACACAATTCCATTTCAAATTCAGCCTTACATTGTTCAATACCATACATTCTTTTATCTACTTTAAATCTTTCTAATAACTAAGAAACCATTGACAACTATGTCCCTCTGCCATCAGTCATTCTCTTGATTTTATTTTATATTCCCCTTGGTAAAATTCTAGGATCTGTGTATGCCCCTCAGTTCCTAACAACTCTGGGCAGCACACAAATAAAAAAGAAAATACACAACAACTAAAAAAAAATAGTTTAAAACAACAACAGTAACGACAATGATAATTTAAATGGGTGTTTGCCCACACATTTAAGCCCAAATCTGTCAAACAAAATGACAGCTTAGTGCAGTGTGTGAACTTAGTTACATGGGGTGAAGTTGCCCAGACCCCCATACTGTGTTGGTTGTACTGATGGGGAAACATCCTCTTTTCTCATCCTTGAAAACTACTGAGAGTTTTCCCAAGAGAGAAGAGAGCTGATTTTCCCCCCCCCACTCCAGGGAAGGGCGACACTGGGGAGATCACAGCCGGAAGCTCGAGGGGCATCAAGACCGCTCCTGGCCGGGGAGCGCAGATGGAGAGATGATGGGACGGGAACATGAACGATGGCAAGGTAAGAGCCCGGCTTTGTTCCTAGACAGAGCGGGGCAGTTCTCAATTCTGCAGTGCCGCCTTTCTCTGCCTGAGATGAAAGCACGTGGCCTGTTCTCAGTTAGGCCGCCTCCTGTGTCCTCCGTGAGGCAGCGAGAGGCCAAGCCAGATCTTTGGGTCAGACGTCACAGGTGGAGCCCCCAAGATTTTGGGGTGCCCAGGAAAGCAGTGGAGCCTCTGCATGTGACTTGCCACATTCACAACTTGAAATCCTGATGGTTTTACAAGAGTTCTTCAGGAATGATGGCTGGATGTGTATGCCATCATGAAATAAGTAACTCCCCCTTCCCTGCTCACTTTCGGCTTTTTAGGTGGTGAGCGGAGTGCTCCTGGCCCATCCGGGCCTGGCCACGTAATGAACAGAGGAGAGATATCGGGGTGAGTATTAGTAAAGGACTCCTCTGTGTCCATTCCCCAAGAAGTCAGCTTGGTGGAGCAAAGCTCATCTCTTCATGCAGCCAGATAAAGTTTGATTTTTTTTCCATGCAGAAGAATAAGCAAGGTGTATCCCCCCCTCCAAAAAAACCACCCATATGTTTTGCGACAAAGTTGTGGTCCCTCTTAATGGAGTCACTACAGTGATAGATTTCTTGCCCTAACTGACCGCCAAGGTCCCTCCCAAACCTTACTTGCTAGGATTCTCTGAAATGCAAACTAATAGCTCATGAATTTGATTATTGGGCACCCTGAATATTAACCCTAGGAGACCCTTTCCACTTTGGGGTAGAAAGATTTTTCCATCCGGTAACTGCCCACCATTGAACTTTGATGACCTGGCTTTCATTTACCCTGCTATGGGCCTTTATATTCCATACTGAGGAGGCTAAAATAATGTTATTTTTTTAAAGTGGAAAGACGGGATGATGGTTAACCCAGAATTTTGGATGATGAGGTCCCTGGATGAGATAAAAGCACTATTAAGTGGGACAAAGATTCACATTTCAGTCTGGTGGTTCGCTGTGATGCAAGTTTGCTTAAGAAATATGTCAAAATTCACACTGAAACGAGTTGTTTTTAAATTGTCCCATTTTCGTTGTAACTTGAAATTACTTTTAAATGCTTTGTGGTTTTAATCTCAGCAAATGTGCCAATCCAACTATCTGTCTCGGGCACAAGTAGGCTCCCTAATGTGCTCCAAACGTTCTGAAGTTAGCTGAGGGATGTGCAATTAGGGACGTGCAAAATACATCAGTCCAAGGATGGCATATTCCTGTCTCGCCCAATGCACCGGGGGACATGGGTAGTTCTCTGGAAGTGGATCTTCTGACACAGGAAGAGGTTTGTAGTGTTCAGGACCGGATCTTCCCTCGAAAGCAAGCATTTTGAGTGCAGACCATACCCTGAATGCTGAGAACTGCTTCATGTAGATTTATCTCCAGGAAATTATCTCTGGATGGTTGGATTGGCGGATTCTGGAAGCAAAACGGAAGATTTGGGGGAGCCCTGACATGTTCTGCCCCTGGAAGGGTGACTTTTGTACATAATCTGCCCGAAAGGTCTGGGGGACCCTAGGTAGCCTTCTGCTAATCTAAGGGAACGCGAGATATTGCAGGACTGAAGCAGTTATGCATTGCCCTTTGTTCACAGGCGTGGAGAGTTTGCCCAGGGCGGACCGCAGGACCCAGCAGTGCAAGGAGCCGACATGCAAGGCGGCTTTGCAAGCCAGGAGAGAACGAACCGGCCGAGTGACCCCCGTTTTGCTCGCCGTTATTGAAGACTTTGCTTCTTGACAAAACGTGGCAACTCTGTGGAATTTTGCTCCCCTGGTTATCGCCTTGAACTGTTGTCACTGAAACAGAAGCTCACCGCAGTAGCTTGCAGATGACGTGAACTCAATTGTGTTACGTGTGTGTGCGTGTGTGCGCGTGTGTGTATGTTTTCCCCCCTTGCTCTGGGTATGTTCTTATCTGGACACCACTCAGCTGTTTTGGAGGAAACATTCCATTTTCCACAAATAATAAATCTGTACTGTATTGAGCTAGTGGGGAAATCCTTGGTGCAGGTTGGGTGAGCTGGTGAACGACGATCTGGAGCGTTTGCCGTCCGTGTTCCCTGCGGGAAGGATGAATAGTGAGTGTGGCTAGCCTTCAGTCTTGCCTTAGCATGGCTGAGCAGGCGTAAGCGTTAGTGGGGGGCACAGTAACCAGAGCGAAAGATAGAGATTCTAGTTCAGAGGGGGGAGGGCACAAGCAAAGGGCATGATCAGTTTTCTGGGGGAATGGACGTCCTTTAAGATCAGGAGGGCCTGCATTCCTTGGAAGATCTGAACGGCCCCCGTCCTGCTGGGGTTTCGAAGGGACCTGGCTGTTTCCCCAGGCCTTCGGTGGGGATGACTGAAGCCTCCTTTTTATCAGGTGGTTTTCTTTTGTTCCACCCCGTTTGTTATTTTGCCATCTCTATCCTTTTTCGTTCCCTCTTGTTGTTACTGCCATGTCTTCCATGTTTTAAATCATTTGTAAACCGCCCAGAGTCGCTGGGAGTTGGGAGGCATATCTATAACAAGAACAACAACGGCTAAGAGCAGGAAAGTTAAAGAAAGAGACAGAGGAGCTAATTCCGGTTGCACAAACCAAGCCTTAAGAACAAATGCATACAAAGCCAGAATCGAGAAGACAGCAACAGACAGCAAATGCCGCCTCTGCAAAGAAGCTGAAAAAAACGGTGGCTAGGGAATTCTGGGAGTTGAAACCCACACCTTTTAAAGTTACCAAGTTTGAAAAACACTGGCCTAGACTCTGCCATTTTTATAAGTTCTGCGACCCTCAGTTCCGTCCATCCTGCCCATCCACACGGATCCTTCAACCTGGGTCCAGCTTAGGCTAGGTTCTCACAGCTTGCAAATTTGGCTCTGGAATCCCACCGATCACCTCCAGCTCCAGTTATTTGGCCTTTCCAGGGAGGGAGCATCTTTGCACGGAGGAGAGAATGAAGATACCTTCGAGATTCACTATCTTGGAGTTTCATTAATGTTCTTTTTCAGTTTAAAAAGCAGAATCGGAAGTCTCGCCCGCTCCCAAGAGAAGCACCTGCTTCCAGCGATGCCCTCACTCGAAGGGTGCCTCTGAGCTCCCTAAGGACCCATTGGAAATAGTAGAAACTAGAGAGGGTGGCAGGGAGGAACTTCACCTATTTGAATGGGTGTGTTTCTGCAATGGTAGAAAGGTAGAAGGTCCTTCAGAGGTCATCTAGTCCAACCCCTGTTTGATGCTTGGTCTCTACGATCAGGCAGAGTAGACATGCCCCAGGTCTCATCCATGAAAAGGGTCCCATCCATTAAGCCAGTGTTGTCCAAACCTGGCCACTTTAAGATGAGTGGACTTCAACTCCCAGTGGACTTCAACTCCCAACTCCATGGCTGGCTGGGGAATTCTGGGAGTTGAAGTCCACTCATCTTAAAGTGGCCAAGTTTGGACAACACTGCATTAAGCTGTAGAGATGGGACTAGGAAGCGTCCTTGTCAGTCACAGCTTCTGCCCCTTGGAACGCTGGTCGTGGCTGCCATCTTGGCTTTTTTGACCTCCCTATGGACCCCCTGCCCCAAGATCTCTCTCCCTCCCCCCTCAAGCCATGCTCAAAAAAGCTCTGAACCCCTGATTCTTCCCCCAGGCCCTCAATTAGAGTATTTGCCGCATCCTCGTGTGTTGGATTGTCTTTTCATGGTAGTGCTTTTTTGAAAAATGTGCAGTTGTTTTTACTCTGTGTGGCCCAGAGTCGTCGTAGAGTTAGTCAGCCTTACAAATGTCTTCAGCAAAGCAGGAAATACACGAACTTAAAACTTGAAAGATACCCCGGGAGCATCAAGACCCGGCGCTTGGTCTGCCTAGAAATCAGCTCAGGGTCTCTGGCTGATGGTTGTCCAGCCTCTGTTTGAAGGTGTCCAGTGAAGAGCCAACAGCTCTTCCCGGGAGCTTTTTCTAACATCCCCTCCCAGTATCCTAAATCCCTTATTCCTCGTCCTGTGCTCCAGATGGAGGAAGACTAAACCTCCCCGTTTTCTTCCATCTCTCTTCCTATGACTTAATTTCCTGATCCTCCTCCGTGTCCTCCTCTGCTCCTGTTTCCCAGACTCTTTCTTCAAATCTGGTGCCAGACCTGGACTGAGGTGGGATCTAGCCAATTCAGAAAAAAATATTACTTCTTCCTAGCTTGGAAACCTCCCTGCTATAGGAGCCATGGCGTTCCTTACTCATAATTAGCTTTATGATCAATTAGAGTTCCAAACTCCTTTTCACATGAATTGGTGCCAAATTTATTCTCTACCCTAGGCCCATGGATTTCATTTCTTAAGTGAAATTCTTGCTTTATCTCTCAGTTCTGTGGTTTTCAGTCCATTTCTAACCTTTAAATACATTTCCTCTCAAAATCTGCATGTATGTTTGACCGCATGTTAGTAATTAGGGCTACCATCTCTCTCTCTCTCTCTCTCTCTCTCTCTCTCTGTTTTCTGACCACCTCTTCCTTAATAGCTAGTTGTGCATCGGGTGGATACAACGTGATTTCTTAGGTAACAGCTCTTACCTGTTGAATTTGCTCAGGATAGATGAGTGTAATTTCCCCTTTTTGGTTGGGAATAACCTAATTTCTTCGCTGGGGAGAGAACACACTTGTGATTTAATCTATTTCAATATGGGAGAAAAACAGGACGAGCAGAATGGAGTACCGGGGCGCAGCTGGGTGGAAAAACGAAAGGGAAGATACTCTGTATTGCAGCCTCCTGAGGTAGTTTAAATTTGGGTTATATTGCAAAATCTTGAAATGGATTCAAGAGAGGGAGGAGATCGAAGGAGAAGAAGGGAGGGGAGATCCTCATGGAGAAAATCTATGTGGTCGCTAAAAGTCAACAACTTGATGGCATATAATGTTTATTTGTATGTTTTGTGTTGTATCCTGGAGTAAGAAAACACCCCAATTCTAACACCTCTGCAAGGGCAATACCTTTATTAAAACCAACCAAACCAAAATGTCCTAAAAGACGCTAGCAAGTGTTTCCATTCTCCAAAACTTAACGTCAGGCAAGATTTCATGGAAAGCCATTTTTTCCAAGGCCCTATTTCTACTCTACAGAGATTATTTTTTAACTCTGGAGAATTAGGACTCGAAGATTGTGAATCGATAGACCTCCCCTGCCCTCTTTTAAAAAATTAGTACGGAACAAGCTACCGTAAATGGCAAAATAGCACAATATACAACAGTTGAGGAAGATGGGAGTCTCGGCTTGCAAACCTGATGGATTGATTGGGGATCCGGCCACCAACGATGCTGTCAAAATTAAGCCCAAGCTTTCCTGGGGTAGCTGGTGGTTGAATCTGGACTTTTTGCATCCAGAATAGACGCCTTGCCATTGAGCAGTGGGTTTCTCCTCCTTATAACAGACAATGCTCCTATTTTCGGTTGCAAAATGCAGAGTTTACCACGCCGGCTCTCAATGAGATCGGATGACCTCATCTCTGCTTCTGGACGTCTCCCATTGGTTGGCTTCTTACCCCTGCAGTGTTTGAGCCAGCCACCAGATGGCAGTAGGAATTAACCAATGTCGCCTCTTCTCTTTCTGAATCAACGCCGATTTCTTTCCTTTTCTTCTTTTCTTTCTTTTTTCTTTCTTTTGGCAATGTATAGAATAATTTATTTTCTCCACCTCCAGTGAATTCGCAAGCTAAGCTAATTCGTCTACTGCAGAAACCGTCCCCCTTCAAGAGAGCTTTTCATTTCTTCTTTTTTTTTTAAAAAAAAAGGTCAGGATGAAGGATGTCAAGTATTACATAAATTCCATAATTCTTTCCTTTGGTCACAGAAGAAGTAAAATCGGTTTTCCCCAAATCTTTTTCTTTCTTATATCGAACGTTTATAGCTTGCGACTCCTTTTAGAGCTTTTAAAGCACTTCATGCATGTTGATCTCACAATAACCCTGCGAGGTAGGACGCTATTCTGTTCCCCATATATACAGCTTCCTGCTTCACGGTCAGAGGAATGGAGAAAAATGCATGCAATAGTTTTGGGTTGATTTTCCTAATAACCCACCACTGCTTCTCTACAATGACGTTTCTAGTTCAGGTTTGGCTAAATCCTGAACTAAATCAGTTGATTTAGACCAGTGTTTTTCAAGCTTGGTGGCTTTAAGATGTGCGGACTTCAACTCCCAGAATTCCCCACCCAGCATGGCTGGCTGGGGAATTCTGGGAGTTGAA